TAAGACTCTGCTTTACCAAAATGTGAATAAATGCTTAGTAACTATTTTCATAAAGCATGATATCTTGCAAGGACCAAACTTTGCCAACCTATAGCAAGAGAGTATTGCTGAACCCATTCAACTTCTAAACAATATATGTAAAGAGGCTAGAGAAAAAAGAAAAGAATTATAAGTACTTTTTCAAGACATGGCAAAAGTCTATAACATAATTATCTAGAAATATTGGAAAAAGCAATACCAAGAATTTAAATTTCATTAGTAATAAGATAACTACTTATCAATCTTTTTAAGAACTGAGAATATTATACTATTCTTCCTATTGGACTTTTTGATTCAATTATAGCAAGAGATAGTATTCATCAAAGGGAAATAATATTTTTATTACTTTGATGAATTTTCTATAACCTATTGCTCTACAAAATTTAAAATAAATAGAAATATGAATATACTATAGAATAAGAGTAAATATTTGACTTTCAGATATTAGAAGTTAAGAAGAAATCATCTATTAGACAAGTTATCATTACATATATGAATATTATAACCTGGATAGTTAGATCTAAGCAAGATATAGAGAATATTTTGAAAGAGGCCAGAAAGTTCTATATAGCAAATGATTCATAGATTAATAGCGAGAAATTAATTTTGCTCACAATAAAATGAAATAAGCTAGAAACTGGAATAGTTTATGCTGGTACTAATAAAACAAAAGTCAAAAAAATGAATAAAGATAATCAGGTATGATTATTAGGAGTTTGGTTTAAAAGAAGATACAATAGCAAGAATATAATTAACTTGTTAAAAGTTAAGATTAGATCTATAAATCTAGTAATCAATAAAAAAACTATAACTGAGAAATATATCAGATATATTATTAATAGAGTTTTGATTCCCAGGATCAAATATCGTATATAATATATACATATTGGAAAAATGATAAACAATGAGCTTATTGCAATGTATGAAAAACTTTTAAGAATAAAGTCCTCATCTATAGCACAATATCAAATAGTTGTATTTATCATAAGAAGATATTAGACCTCAAAACTATATGGAAAATCCAACTTGAAAGTCATATAATCTCTTTCTTCTGTTAGCTAAACAATTCCAAAAATCCAGAAATAACAATACTTATCTATCTCAAACAGAAAAAGATGAAACTCTAAGAGCCTAAAAATATCTTGAAACATTCAACAGAAGCTGCTTTTTCTGAAAAATGTAATTCATTATTACTACTTTGGCTCTTACCAATAAACTTTAAATCATATATCAAAGTTGAAGATAGAAAAATCTTTTTCAAGTCAAGGATGGTTTAATTTTATTAAGTTAATTCTTGAGGAATGGGACTATAAAAAAGCTATAGTATTCCTTAAAAAATACAATATAATGTTCTTTGATCAATTAATTAACCCAACTACAGGAATAATTAGAGAATGGGAAACAACTCAAATATTTTTTGAAAATAGAAAAGATCATATTTCCAGATAGTATAAGCAAGTTGTTTCTCTAGTTACAAAAAAACAAGATTTGCTCAGAAGCTCACTCAGAAATTTAGAAAAGTACAATTATGAAATTTGAATAAAACAATTATCAAATATATTGGATAAAAAAAAGATTTACTGGAGAATCACTACCTATCTATCAAAAAATATAATAGGAAAAGTCAAGAAAGCTCAAGACAATATGATCTTCATCCCGTATTAACTTAATTATAATTATATTGATAATTTGATTCTATATCATTCAGATCTAATTAAGCAGATAACAATAGTTTCACCTTTAGAAACATATCTTTTGCTTCAACTCAATAAGTCTAAAAGTACATAAATAAGAAAATCACTACTACTTTCTAGTAACCCAATAAATTGAATATCTGATAACTCAAAGCAATATAGACCTGACATCTGAAATGTAACAATAATATATAAAAAAGTAGTAATAGGAAACTGGTATATTTTATTAATAGATCAGGCCATTCGCTTAAAAGAACATATTGGAGAACTTATTGATATTTTTAGATTTAATTAAAACAATAGACATAAAAACTTAACTTTTTATACTGATAGATTCTTTAAGAAAAATAGAAAATATTGAAACAAAGTATCAGATGAATTTTGCTTGAATTCAAACTCAAGACAATACTATCGTCAACCAATTCTTAACAGGAAAACTGCTATAGCCTTCAGCAGCAAAAGTAAAAATATTAGTAATATTGATAGTATTTTATACTCTACCTCAAGATACTAATGTCACTATCTTTACAGACTGCAAAGTAGCTATTAGAATATAAAATACTATATAATTACAACTTCTTATGTCATTTAGGAAATGGATCAAAATAGCTAACTGATCACTTTGAACAAAAATAAGAAATTTAGTTAAGAAAAAAAGCCTTAACTTAATACTGAAAAAAGTCTATGCATATAAAGAAGATTATTTTACAATATAGTAGATACATTAGTAAAATTAACTATAAAAGAAAATCCAATTGAATGGTAGCACATATTAGAAATGAGAATAATCTTCTCTATAGTTACATGAAAAAATCTGACTATTGACATTGGTATCCAGGAATTTATTAAAGAATGGAATCATAGAAAGATCAGTCTTGATTGAAATAATCAAAGATAAATTCAGAATAGATAAAGTAAAGAGAAAACTAAGATAAACTGAACAGTCTTTTGGAGCTAGTTTAATATATATAATACATTATATATATCCTTCAAATATAATAAGAATAAAAGCTTTTTGGTGAATCTCACTCACGATGAACTTTCTACATTACAGATACTTAAAAGTAAAAATCAGAAATGTATAAATCAACTACTTGTATTAGGTATGCAACTTATAAAGAAACAACCAATTACATATTTTTGTATTTAGTAATAAGCTTCGAAAAACTAGACATCTGAAAAGAAACAAATAAGAAGTTGGTTCTATATATTACTAATCAAGTAGAGGTCAATAATAAAAATCAAGAAGCTATATATTGAGTAGTTGATATATAGCTTAATAAGATATAACAATAGAAACAAAATCTTCTTAAAATAATATGTGAATATAAGTATAAAGACAAAATAAAAGATATTGAAGACTTCTTCAAACTATATTACAAAATAAAATCACTTATCACAAAAAAAGTTATAGAATAACTGTGCCAACAAATATAAAAAAATTTTTAAAAAAAGATCTGAAACATATGCTATAAAGTAGTAATTGAATAAGAAAAGACTGTGGATATTGATAGAAGATATAAATAACACTAAGTTTTAAAAAACAAGTTTGAAAACACAAAAAATTCAGAAGAAGAAAATGACCTTCTATTAGATATCATATAAAGAACAATCTAAAGATATAAATCTTAAAGAGATTATTAAAAAATGAATAGTAAAAAGGAAAAAGTGGTTAGTTATTTGATCTGTTATTTAAAATTTTAGATGATTTACAGTAATAACTTGTAAGCAATAAACTTGATAACTAAAAGATAATCCAAATTATTAAGAGAGCAAAATATTATCTCCTAAATTGCATTTAGAGAAGTTAAACTTCTAAGATGGGTGAGCAGTTATATAAAAATCTTTTAAATTGTATAATATTTTAAAATACACAATAAAGATAAGTTATATTAACCTGATGCGAATTAAAAAAAAATAAAGTTTAAACTTAAATTCAATTAAATATTTATAGAATCAACTTAAACAATATATAAGAAAGGTAAAGAATATTTATTTAAAAATTTAAATAAATTGAAGATTTTTTTATAAGAAAGTTAATTGTAGATTTCAAAGTAAGATTTATTAAAATTTAATAGTTAATATAAAAATTGAATAAAGGTTATAATAAAAATATATAACTATCCTACTAAATATTAATAAAAGTTTATTAAATATATTTTTTAAAATAATTTAAATTTTTTAAAAAATTTTTTACTTATAATAGTTTTAATAAATATTTTATAAATAATATAATATAAGAAATTATATAAATATATTTAATTAAATATAACAAAATAGAAAATTTTTAACTTAAAATAGAAAAAGAAACAAAAAAGTAAATAATAAATATATATAAAAAATTTGCGATAAAATTCAAAACAAAATATAAGAAGATAATTTAATGGAAATATATATATAAATTTATAAAATAGAATAAAATAAAATGATCTTCAAGTTTCCCGATCAGAAATCTATTTTTAACTTGAAAAGAACCATTACTAAAAAACGAAAACTTAAAAAAACAAAAGTTTAAAAAATATCTTAATAAGAGAAATTAAATATGAAATAAAGTAATCGAGTTTTGAGTCTTGTTAAAACCCTATATGGTAACTACAGTAATGATTTGTAAGCCATAATGTTAGCAGCTAGAAAGTCTTTACTTGAACACTAATGGAAAAATAAATTATTTCCAAAGTGATACTTAGAATAAAACAGAAATAAGTAAGTTAAATAGATATTTAGCTTTTGCAAAACATTTCATAATGTATAATATGCAAAGCCTACTTGATAAAGAATTAAAAAAATAATAATAATAAAAATTTTGACTTAACGTTAAATTATTTATTTATTTAATGATATTAAAAAATTTATTAAAAAATTTAAAAATACTGTATATATATATAATCACTTATATTATTTAAATTTTATTAGATGATCCTAAACTTTTAAAGCCTTCAAAGAATTTGCCAATATTTATTATGCAAGTTGCTCAACTAATTTCCATTCAAGAGAATCGTAGACCATGGTATTCAATCAGTATTCATAACTGAGCTACAATTATTGCCTGTTGTGATATTATTTAGCATCCACTTTAATAAAATCTTGCTTTCCTTCGAGTAAATAAACGACGAAATAACGGCGCTAATTTATTTATAATGAAGCCTTGCTAATTTGAATTCACCATTCTTGTCGTTTCATAAGTTATAGCCTAATATATATGAACGTATTATTTACGTTGTTCATATAAGTTATATTGATGAAGTAGTAATAGCGAATTCAACTAACCTTTAAATTCAGAACAAATTCCAGGATTTTTAAAACGGAAGAAAAATCATCCAGATTATCTGGCACTTCCATTAGTTCTCCACGTCGAATCCTATAGACATAGCCTCTTGGATTGTCAAGATTGACCGACATCATCATTAATCCTAAATTTAGGTATTAGTTGAATTATTGCATAGGTATATATCATTCTCATATAAAGTCGTACCTGCGTGAATTATTCCAACCGTCTGCATTTTTACACACTTTTCCGTATTCCAATCTACTTTTTTCATTAACATTATTAATAGATCCTTAAGGACTTTAAGAAGTCCTAGTTCCGTCTTTTTGAGAAACTCTGTTCCTTGCTCATCCGACCAAACTCCGGCTCCAGTTCGAAAACACACTTTTCGCAACTCTCCTGACTTTCTTTTCGCGTTTTTTCGAGATGCTGCCGCTAAGTTTGTACTTTCACCCCTTAATATTAAGCATTGTTAAATTTAACAGAGTAGGCGTAGGATATATATAATTTTTAAAAGTTACCTGACGACAGATACCACATTAATATTTCCGAAAGCTTGATCAGAAATTTCATTCAATATGTAATAATTAAACCAAGCCTCGAGTTTTGCGCCTTTCACACTCCCAGTTTGAATTTCTCGAATTCTGAAAATAATTTGGCAGATTCTATTAATACACCTAAAGCTATTATATATATAAACATAAAAAAATACTTACAATGAATTTAGGGCATTTATTACGTAATCATAACAATGATGGTTTTCATTATCATAATTTCTACCAACTATTTTATCCATTATAGTCTCACGAATCTCCTTCAAGCTCGTCTACAATAGTAAATGAGGTTAATGGCTTTGTTTCAATGCACCGATCTTCACCAGTAACATATAATGAATTATTACCTTGTCAACGAATCCATGTAGAAGTTCAGTAATGCAGTCTGACAATTCGGGTACCTGAGGGCCAGCGGCGCGATCAATTTCGTAAAGTTCTGTTTCACTAAAGTGCTCCAAAATCAATTTATCGTCAACATCTAAGATGAACGAATGAACGGCACTAAAGAGTAAACCATGAATTAATAATATTATCTCGCACAAACATAATTGCATGCATTAATACTAACTGCTCAAACTTCAGTTTTTTTCCTAGTTTGTATAACTCTTCTTCGACCAATCTTCCAGAAGAAAGCCTCCACATATGTTGCTTGTTCATCTGTTGGTAAGCCGTGTCGATTTCCTTTCTATTAGCCTTGCTTAGCCTAAGTGGTCTCGTCTAATGACAAGAGCATAAATTCTTATTAGTATTCACAATAAAAACTATGCTAAAAATTCTAACAATATACTTTATTTTCTTTCACCTCTTCTCGGTCACCACTTTCTTTCGATTTTATACCTATATCCTCTTTAGTCGCATTAAGAGTTCTTTCA